ACATGCCTGTCCACAAAGAAGTTTGGAGGCAAGGGCAGTGGGGCTGCATGACGGACGATCCCTTCGTACCTCTGGTCTGGGTCCAGATGGGGAAGTAGCCTCATGACTGTGTCATGCAGATGCAGCAACACTTGCAGTATGATGGCGTGGGGCCATCGCCTGCCCAGGGGCAGCTCTGGCTCCATGCTGAAAAAACGGGTCTAAAACAAAAAAACCTCCAAACAAAAAGCCTGCTGGGGTGTCCCAGGAAGCTGAGCACTCCAAACCAGCACTTCAATGCCTTGCTTACCTCCTAGAGGGACAGCAAAGGCAGCTGCAGAAACAGAGCAACGGGTGTTCAGGAGTGTCCCTGTAACCACGCCACATCTCTGCAAAGGGCAGGCAGGCAGCAGCACCCGGAAGGAAATGCTACCCCCATGCCCTGGCAGAAGCGGTTCCGGGTGGCTTTTAATTTCGAAAGAGCGTCCAGCAGTCAGGACGCTCTATTTCGAAAAAGCGGATCGATTTTCCGATCCGCGTATTGTGGTCTAGACGCGCTCTTTCGAAAGAGCCTCTTTCGAAAGAGGCTGGCAGTCTAGACATAGCCTTAGAGACTAATATATACCATGAGCTTTCTGATTAAGTGGGTTTTGTTAGTCTCTGAGGCTATGTCTAACAATGAGAGGGGTTTTTTGGGGGAGAGGGGGAAGGAGGGTTTGCTTCTTTTTTTTGCAGAAGAGCAAACACGCTCTTTCAGAGATCCCTGTATCCCTTGTTCTACTAGGGATAAGGGTTCCGCCAAAAGAGGAGTCTTTTCCTCCATTTGGCCATATCTAGACTGGGCCACATGGTGGAAAAGCCTCTTCTGGAAAAGCCATCGGAAAAAACTATGCAAATTGCAGAGCGCAATTTGTGTAGCTTTTTCCGACAAAGGACTGCTGTAGTCTAGACCTAGCCTAAACTGCCACAAGACTGTTTGTCTTTATATATGTCGGTGGGACTCCTCACCATTGTGTCTGCAGGATCAGTCCTTGAGTCTGTTTCCTTTGTGGAACTTTCACACACAGCCTCTTCCCTTTCAGCAGGCAACATTCCTTCCTTCCAGGCAGTTCCAGTTTCCTCACAGCCGTAGTTGTCTTTGTGGGTTGGGAATGAGACAAGCTGCTTTGCCCTTATCCTTACAGGAATTACACATTTGTACAGCATATTACAAAAGGGAGGGGCTCCAGCTGGTTTTGTTCAATACGTTTTGTCCCCGTTTCTGAGCAGATGAAGTGAGGGACAATACATTGCAAAGCAGGCAGCTTGATTGGGAGGAGTCGAGAAACAAGAATGAATGATCATTGTCAGCTGCTACTGCATCCATAGGGAAGTGTTAGCTTGCTATTCTCTGAGGCAAGCAGCGCTGTAGATGCAGGTGTTAGCACTCCTTATCAGCCTAAGTAAAGCTTTGCCTTCTATGTTGATGGAGTATTCAACGACCTGGCACCATTCAGCCAAGAAGCAGAGAGAAGCTTGAAGCAGGGGACAGCAAGTTTCATGCAGAAAATGATCATGCTATAAGGTCTTTTACATATTTATTCTGCAGGCAATTAAAAAACCAAGCAATTGAGGAAACAAGATAATACAGAAATGGGAAAGTTAAAATTTCTAGAGACTATATTGTTTGTCTCCTTTGAGCCTCTAGGATGTTTCTTTGCATTCATTTGTTCTGATTCCAGTTTGGTGACCTGCACTCTCTAGACAATGGCAATCCACAGGAACAATTTATCTGAATAAGGTAGGTGTCATAGTGCAATTACTTTCCATTTCTGGTATCCCTAATGAGGGACTTGATGCATGTTTAATTTTGATACTTATCTTAATTAAAACTGCATTGTTTGTGGGTCTTAATCACTGGAAAATTCTGTAAAGCGGGGAGCTTAAGCCTAAACTTGGTTAGTTTTCTAAACTTTTGTCTTGGTTTGGTGGATTTGTGACTCCAGACTGTAATGTTTTAAAATTCCTTTTCTGCTTTCTTCATTAATAGCTGCTATTAGAAACCAGCATAAGTTGCAGAATGTTGGTTTTAAATTAGAATGGTAAGAAATCAGACTATAAGGATGTTCTAGGGCAGGACACAGTGAAATGAATTAAAGGATGTAGATCTGATAGTGCTTTGGAAAAATAGGAAACAGGGAGAAACGCTTTTGGACATCAGAGCTAACTGTGTAGATCAAAAGGGCAATTTTTAAAAAAGAGAATGAAATCATATTCTCATAATTTCATCCTAAAATGAGTTAGAATCACCTCTTCTGATTAAATCATTCATGGTATAATTATCTCAGTTCATTTAAGAATATTAAATGTACTTTTTAAAAAAAGGTTGTTGTGTTAATCTTTAAGAGCACATTTTACCAATATGAGAGGTTACCATCATATTAAAAAAACTATATCCTCCACCACGGGTATTCATTTTTTAATTACATCACATGAGAATAAATATAAAGATTAATATTTCCCAGGTGATATACCTGAGGGTACTTTCACCACCAGTATAGAAATAAATATCTGCTTAGTATTGTTTAAAAAAGAAAAGACACTTGCTGATTTACTGGGACATATTATAACTAACTATGGCTATACAAGGGATAACTCCACTGGATTTTTTTTAAAGGCATTTCAAAAAAGATAAAAAAGAGTAACTTCTTTTACAGTTTAATTTGTGTTACAAATCGATAAAGATTATTTTAGCCATTGAGAGCAATGTCCATTATTTTCACTTAGGCTCATTTTATAACATACAGTGACAATCTGACAAGAGGTTTATATTCAACAAGCTGGTTTGGAAGCCTATTGTTCTTATTTCACAGGAGAAAAATTTTAGGAGCAGCATAAAGACAATATTGATTATGAAAAATAAATGAATACTGATTATTCTCTTATATTAGTGCAAGAACACTGGCTAAGCCATAGTTTGGCAGAAAAAGACCAGGGGATTACAGTGGATGAGAAGATGGATATGAGTCAAAAGTGTGCCCTTAGCAAATAGTACATTGGGGTGCTTTAGTAGGAGCACTGCTTGCAGATCTAGCGAAGTGATTATTCCCCTTTAATTGGCACTGGTGAGGCCACATCTAGAGTCAGCGGCGGATTTAGGGCAGGGTGAGCGGGTCAGCTGACCCGGGCCCCGCGCTTCCCGAGGCCCTGCGCATGTGCCGTGGTGCCACGGTGCATGAGCCGTGTCAAAGGAGGTGCCCCGCAGCGCTGCCCTGGGCCCCACGGCACTCTCATCCACCACTGTCTAGAGTACTGTGTCCAATTCTGGGGCCCCCATTACAGAAAGGATGTGGACGCATTAGGGAAAGTCCAGTGGAGTGCAATAAAAATGATTAGGAGGCTGGTGCATGTGATTTATGAGGGGAGGTTGAGAGAGTTGGGCTTATTTAGTCTACAAAAGAGAAGAGTGAGGGGGGAGATTTGATAGCAGCCTTCAACTACCTAAAATGGACTTTCAAAGAGAGTGGAAAGAGGCTGTTCTCAGTTGTGACAGATGACTGAATGAGGAGCAATGGTCTCAAGTTTCAGTGGGGAGTGTGTAGGTTGGATATTAGTACTATTTCACTAGGAAGGTGGTGAAGCGCTAGAATGGGTTGCCTAGAGAGCTGGTGGAATCTCTGTTCCCTAGAGGTTTTTAAGTCTTGGCTTGACGAAGCCCTGGCTGGGATGATTTAGTTGGGGCTGGCCCTGCTTTTATCAGGGGGTTGAACTTGATGACCTCCTGAGGTCTCTTCCAACTCTATCATTCTATGGGGGGGAAAATGGCTGGTTACCATGTAAACATCTTATTAATGCACAAGTTAAACAGTTTTGATCCAGGACATTTCAAAGACTGCCATTCTGCCGTACACACCATTCATTTGTACTGCAAAACAGTAATGGCACACATGATTCTGAGATGCCAGAAATCTTAACTCTGACCTAATTTTTTTTAAAACACACAAAGGCGGACACTACTGAACCCTTTAGCTAATATTGAGTTTTGGTCCTTGAGGCCTAGTATGTGGTTATGGCAGGTGGGAGGCCTAGCAATGGTTGTGGTGCACAGAGCATAGGCCAAAGGAAAGGCATAGGCAGGGCCAGAAGATCTGTTACTAGAGATTCTTCTGTCCCCAGAAGGTTGGGCTAAAATAGCCTCTTTAGAGCAGCTCGCATGCAGATTAGATGGTGATTCTTTCATCCTGAGCTTTTTGCCCTGTGTCCAGTCCCTTATTCCGCTTGTGGGTGTTTAATGTCTGAGTGGTAGAAAGAGATCTCACATCCAATGTCCACTATTGTAAAATATTTTGCTAACACTATAAAACTTACACAGTAGCGTATACAATGTTCCCAGCCTCAATGGCTAGAGACATATAATTCTAAAGAGAGAGAGCTGCCCTGCAAAACCAAATCATCACTCATCATTAATCTGGTATTCATGGATGAAAGTGAAACATCTTGTTATAGATGGTTTACACCAGTGTTTCTCGACTAATGGTACAAGTACCCTCAGGGTACTTGAGAGAAGTCTGGGGGAGTAAATCAACACAACTGAAATTTGGAGAAAACTGAACTTTTGTTTTAAGTTTTACAGCGCTTTATTATTTTTGTCCTTTTTATACCCAAAAATTTCATCGCCTGCCCAGCTATGATTAAGTTGCTTAAACAAATGTGTTGCAATGGTAGAAAAAAATTTGGTGTGTCTGAAAACTAGGTACTGGCGGTACTTATAATTTTTTTTTAAAAAAAAGGGGGTACTTTATTTTAAAAAAAAAAGGTTGAGACACACTTGTTTACACAAGTCTCTCATCACTGAGTAGCTGCCACTGAGGCTTATATTCTAGAATCCAAGTTTTCTTTAGAATTACTTGAGCAAAGCAAACAGGCCTTTTCTCTGCTTTTACCATGAATTATCCTATTCCATTAGCAACTCAAAACAGTCCTAAATGTGCACTCATGAAAGCATAACCTGGCTTCAGTGTTAAGGGAAGTCACTTTGGCTAATGGCCATTCCTGTTTGCTTCCTCTCAAGAGAAGAGCTAGAAAGTATTAAATAGAGTTTAGCTCTCATGAATAACATAGTACACAGGGAAACTGGCATTTCTCTCAGATTTTCATCTTTGGTCTAGCTTAGAGGTTCTCAAATTGTGGGTTGAAACCCCAAAGTGGATTGTGACCCCCCCCACACCCCCCATTTTAATGGGGTCACTAGGGATGGCATTAGTCTTGCAAGGCCTGGGCCTGGGGATGAAGTCCTAGCCTCACTGCCTGGGACCAAAATCAAAATATGAGTACCACCACCCAGGGCCAAAGGCCTGTGTGGCTGGGTTCAGGTTACAGGCCCATAACCTGAGGTGGTGGGGCTTGGGCCTTGGCCCCAGGCCCAAGCCCTGAAAGTCTAATGCCATTCCTAGGACAGCAGGGCTTGGGCAGTTTCAGGCTTTGATCTTCCTCCTGGGATTGTGTAGTAATTTTTGTTGTCAGAAAGTGGTTGTGATGCAATTGAGTTTGAGAACCCCTAATTCTAATGGATCTTTTTGAGGGTAGAGGGCACTGCTTAACCAATAACTTCCTACTCAGAAATGCTTGGAAGTTGGTCATCTCAAACAAACTAGAAAAATTCTGTTCGACCTTTGGCTATGTCTAGAATACGCCAAAGTTCCGAAAGAGGCCCAAAAGAGGATATGCAAATTCTGTGGGAATTTGCATATCTTCTTCAGATCTCACTTTTGAAAGGAGTTGGGATGCATTTTTTTCGGCAATCCCCTCCCCCTTTATTGAAAAGCCGCTCTTTCTCAAAACGTAGGTTTACTCAGCTTTTCGAAAAAACGGGGGGGATTGCCAAAAAATGCGTCCCGACTACTTTCTCTTTTGAAAGCTCTGCTTTTGAAATTGAGATCAGAAGATATGCAAATTCCCATGGAAGATGAGCCCTTTGATAATGAGGTCTGTAATTCTTCCAGCTACTGGTAGCATGCTATCATTAGGTATTATATTCACAGGAATCCCAGTTATGAAATCAGGGTTTCGTTGTGCTAGGTGCTGTACAAACATAGAACAAAAATATGGGCCCTGCCTCAAAGAGATAAGTATAAGATGAGACAAGAAGTGAATACAAACAATTGTCAGAACATAAGGAAACTGACACATTGGCCAGAATGATGGGTGGTGTTTCAGCGCTTGGATATCCATAGTCAAGGTTTTTTGTAGGCAAAGGAGAGGTTTAAGAAGATTTTCTATGTAGCTTCTCCCAAATAGGAGAAGCATGAAGATGCTTTTCTGAAAATTAAACAAGTAACAATGAAGGTTGACGACATTAGCAGACTGGCGGTAGGATAGTATGTTCCAATGGAAAAAACATTGGTCATTGGAGACATGGGTTTACCTCAGGTTTACCAGGAACTTATTTTGTGATCTTGAGCAAGTCTCATGCTTTTTCTACCTCTGTTTCCTTATCAATAAAATATTTGCTAATCCTTATAAAAGAGATCTATTGCTGACAAGTACTGTATGTATTTTAGGCATTGAGTATCATTCGTATTATTCCCATTTAGTCCTCTGGACAGATCTCTGATTGCAACTGATTTTTGAGTTTTGAACTTTTCCTTTAGCTTCTTGAGACAAATTACCAGGAACTGGTAGATGCATGACTTCACATGGACACCTGGTGGATGCATATACCGTATATACTCGAGTATAAGCCGAGTTTTTCAGCACAGTTTTTGTGCTGAAAAATGCCCCCCTCGGCTTATACTCGATTCA